AATATAGAGAGAGAGCTCCTCGCAGTAGTCTATGGTTGTGAGCGTTTCCACACATACCTGTTTGGCCGTCCATTTACAGTGCAATCCGATCATAAGCCGCTGGAAAGCATACACMTCAAACACCTCACATCAGCCCCACCACGATTACAGMGAATGTTGCTGAGATTACAACCATACGATATCAAGATCAGATRCGTACCAGGAAAAGACATGCTGTTGGCTGATGCACTATCACGACTCTCCCCAGAAGAGAAATACCCGATAGAGAACGAGAGAATACAAGTGCACGAGATGTATCCACATTTCAGCACCGAAATGATCGAGCGGATAAGAGCTAACACGGACTTAGATCAAGAGCTGACCTGCCTAAAGAAAATGGTATACGAAGGTTGGCCAACGATGATTACGTAAGTATCAAACATGCTGAAGCCATACTGGTCCTTTAGAGATGAAATCACAATTGACGACGGCATCCTAACCAAAGGACAACGGATCATAGTTCCTTCTACCATGCAAAAAGAAATCCTGGACAAACTACACGCTASCCATCAAGGAGCAGAAAAAACCAAACTCCGAGCAAGATCAGCCGTATACTGGAAGAACATGAACAACGACATCGACAAAACCACCCAATCTTGCGTAACGTGCCAGGAGTTTCTACCAAGTAATCCGAAACAGCCACTGCTACAAACCGAAATACCACCACGACCATGGCACACGATCGCTACTGACCTATTCTACATCAACGAGTCTGAATATCTACTTGTAGCTGACTACTACTCGAAATATCCATTCATAAGGAAAATTCCCAGAGGGCAGAGTAGCAGTAAGCAGGTTATTGAGTTGATGAAGCAGATCTTCAGTGAACAAGGAGTACCAAAGATTGTAAGATCCGACAACGGGCCCCACTACAGCAGTGCTAGTTTTCATGAATTTGCCAAAGAATACGGATTTGAACATATCACCAGTTCTCCTCACTACCCCCAGAATAACGGTTTCATAGAAAACCAAGTCAAGACGGTTAAGGCAGTCCTGCACAAGACCGCAAGAACCAACGAAGACCCCTACATGGCTCTACTCTGTCTTCGGTCCACTCCAATTGAC